TATTTATTTATTTGACAGAGAGAGACAAAGTGAGAGAAGGAACACAAGCAGGGGCAGTGGCAGAGGGAGAAGCAGGCTTCCCGCTGAGCAGGGAGCCAGTGCGGGGCTCGATCCCAGGACTCTGGGATCATGACCTGAGCCAAAGGCAGACGTGTAACGACTGAGCCACCCAGGAGCCCCAAGCTTTTAAAATATTATCCGTTATCTTTTTGCATTGTTTTTTTACTAATGAGGTCTGCTGTCAGTCTGATTGTCTTACAATAACTAGCAGTTATTAAGAGTTTTTCCTCCATCTTTACTATGTTTAGTTGTGGGTTTATTTTTATTTATCCTGCTCAGGACTTGAATTGCAGTCTGAGAGCTCATTTCTTCAGTTCTGAAACTCTTAGCCATTATCTTCTTTAAATAGCATCTGTACCTCATTTCCTTCATGAACTTCTAGAACTTCTATTTGATGCATACCAGAGTTTCTCATTCAGTTCTTTAGCTTTCTTTTCTTTTTGTAGTTCCCCTTTTCTCTATCTCTGTGCTGAATTCTGTAACAAATACTGGAGTTTCTCATTCAGTTCTTCAGTTTTCTTTTCTTTTGTAGTTCCTTCTCTCTACCTCTGTGATGAATCTCTCTCTTCTACTTCATTAATTTCCTTTTCAGTTATCTCTTGCTTACTGTTTAACTTGTGTTTTGAGTTTATTCAGTACTAGATTTTCTCTTTGATTCTTTTTTAGCTCTATTTTCATAGATTCTGTTTGTCCCATTAACCCCCTCAACATTTTATGCATAGATTTTTGAAATCTTTTAACAGATTGTTTTATTTTCTGTGGGTTAGGTTTTTATTTCTTGCCTTATTGTGTTTGTTGACTTACTCTAATAGAATTGGGTACTGTAAGTTTATTTTATGAGCCTATCTTAAGTTGGTGTCCTACTTGTGCCCTGGGTTGGGAGGTGTTCTAATGAGATAGTTTTGTGTTGGTAAGTTTCCAGAGAAGCTTCACTTTTTGTTGTTGTTGAATGAATATGTGAATTCACCTAAATAGGAATCCCAGGGGTGCCTGGGTGGCTCAGTTGTTGGGCGTCTGCCTTCGGCTCAGGTCATGATCCCAGGGTCCTGGGATTGAGCCCCGCATCCGGCTCCCTGCTCCACGGGAAGCCTGCTTCTCCCTCTCCCACTCCCCCTGCTTGTGTTCCTGCTCTCGCTGTGTCTTTCTGTGTCAAATAAATAAAATCTTAAAAAAAAAAAAAAAGGAATCCTAGGAAGAGAAGTAGAGATGAGGCAAAGATACAACTTTTGTTTAATGGACATTTTGTTTGGAGTTCTGGGTTGATTAAAGAAGGGGTTTTATTTTTTAATTTTATTTAATTGACAGATACAGCGAGAGAGGTAACACAAGCAGGGGGAGTGGGAGAGGGAGAAGCAGGCTTCCCACGGAGTAGGGAGCCCAATGCGGGGCTTGATCCCAGGACCCTGGGATCATGACCCAAGCTAAAGGCAGTCGCTTAACCAACTGAGCCACCCAGGCGCCCCTGTTTTTTAATATTTTTAAAAAAGATTTTATTTATTTGTCAGAGAATGCACAAGCAGGGAGAGCAGCAGGCAGAGGGAGAAGCAGGGACTTGATCCTAGGACCCTGGGATCATGACCTGAGCCGAAAGCAGACACTTAACCAACTGAGCCACCCAGGTGTCCCAAAGAAGGGGTTTTAAATAAGAACTTGAACTTAGTTAGGGGGACACCTGGGTGGCTCAGTTGGTTAAGCATCTGACACCTGACTTCGGCTCAGGTCATGATTTCAGGGTGGTGAGATCGCCCCATGTTGGGCTCCATGCTCAGCGGGGAGACCTCTGAGGGTGGCTGGAGTCTCAGTAGGCTCTTATTTTCAAAGCAAACATTTATGTAATTTTTAAATTTATTGAATAAATACAGAAGCAGATAGCAAAAAGATCGCTGAAGAAGCTTCAACTCTTTTTGTTTTAGTGGTAAGATACCTTGGCTGCTGGGTAATCTGTCAGGTCTAAGTAGTCTGCCTAGGAATGGGGTTTGCTGATATCTATAGACTTGAACTTATTCCCTCTCATTGGAACTTCTTTCATGCCTTAAATTTCTGAATTCCGAGCTTCAAGAGTGCTTCTCCATTGACACAGGAAAATATTTATGGAAAATAAGAGTCTTTCTGAGGTGTATGTTTCCATTCCTCGTGTACTGTGGGTTGGGTTTCTTTTGCAGTGTTCGTATTATTTTGCTTCTACATTTCTTAAAATTGCATGTATAGTGATTCGTGTGCTCTGTTCCTTCCTTTGCCTTAAGATTTTTGGATATTGTTTTTATCTTCCAAATTCCTTAATATTATTTTAATGGAATAATACTTAGATATAGATGAATTTTTATTGTCATTAACTGTGATGTCCGCTTGCCAGATTGAAGTAATTTTAAGAATCTGAGAATCAGTTTATTGGGTTCAAAAAAACCAAAGACTTGCATCAAATTATCCTTTACACAGGTATAATGAACACTTTTATAATATTGTTTCTTGCTCAGAACAGAATATCTCTCCATCTTATGTATCCTTCAACAAAAATATTCCTTCATTTAGATGCTGCAGATTTCTTAACTTCCTCAATATTTCACATATGTATATGTGGACCTTTTTCTATTTTTTATAGCCTTTTTTTTTTTTTTTAATGTGTGAACTTTGCACTTGCTGTTCTTGGTTTGTATACTATTCCTTTCCTAGTTGAGTTTGGAGTCACCCTCAGGCTCAGTGATTGACTGACAGGATTGATACAGAAAAACGTTTACTCTCATGGTTGCATTTTATTAGAAGGAGAGAAGAAATAGATTAAAATTAGCAAAGGTGCTTGGTGTGAAGTCCAGGAGAAAATAGGCGCAAGCTTCCAGATGTCTCCTTTCAGTGGAGTTGCGCAGGGGGATGCTTAGTTTTAGAGTAACTATGTCTGACAATATGCAGGAGTATTGCCAATCAGGAAAGCTTACCTGAGCCTCCATGTCTAGGTTTTTATTGGGGAATGGTCATAAAGGGGTGCATTCTCCGTAGAACTCACACCACCTACTGAGACTCTAGCCACCCTCAGAGGTCAAACTGAATACAGCATGGCCCAAGGCCTCAAGCATACAAAAACAGTCTTATCAGGTAGAATATTCCAAGAGTTAGAGGTCATGTCACAGGAGCCATTTGAGGGCTAGTACTGGAGATGGGCCTTCCTTAGGAATGTACAGGATTTGAAGAACCAAGGTCAGCAAAGTAAACTTTCCTGCACACTAGTAGATGAATGTTCATTTTTCAAGACCATGTTTAAGTGTGATCTCTTCAGTGAAAGCTTAATTTATTGTAAGAAGTTAGTTGCTCCCATAGTTTTGCTCCTACAATTACTTATACTTACTTCCTTTGTGGTTTTATTATACTCTGTGTTTCTTGAAAGGTTTGTAACTCAATGCCATCTCAAATATGGAAATATTTATATACCTTTTCCTCCTTTCTCTTTCCCATAGTGTTTCTTCCTTTGATTTGAAAAATTATTTTTATGTATTTCCTTTGAGCAACATCTTTGTACTTTGTATAATAAAAACTATGTTTTGTTTTCAAACATATAACTTTGAGTTTAACAGTGTATATGTCTACTAGGAGACTGATATTCCTACTTAAATTAATTAACTTATTTAGAGTGTGTGTGCACATGAGCGGGGGTGGGGTAAGGGAGTGGGGCAGAGGAAGAGGGGGAGAGAATCTCAAGCAGGCTCCATGCTCAGCATGGAGCCAGTGCAGGTCTGACCTCATGACCCTGAGATCATGACCTGAGTGGAAATCAAGAGTTGGAATGCCCAGTGGACTGAACCACCCAGATGCCCCCTGATATTCCTACTTTTAGAATGACACTGTATTTAAGTTTCTGTTTTCCATTGGAACTACTGTATAAGGTTCTATAATTTGTATACTTAAAACTCTTGGGGATTCTGTTTATATCCTAGTCTATAGTTGTACATGGTATAAACTATAAAAATTATATACTAGTCTTGAACCCTTTCTTGAAAGTAAGGATTGTATTGTTTATGCTATATTCTCAGTTTTATGGCTGACACGTAGTAGTTCGTTTGCTGTGTTGACTGTGTTGCTGTTTTTTAGTTTTTAACTTCCATAGGTTTATTTCTTCTAATAGATGCTAGATCACTAGGCCATTCAGGCACATGTGATCTTTCTTCCCACACGAAAGTGAATTCAGGTAGTTCTGAACCAAATCAGAATTTATTAGATGATAGATTGTGTATTTCTATTGCTGCTGTAACAAAATTGCCATTAATTTGGTGGCTTAAAATAACGCACATTTTAATCTTTTACTGTTGTCAGTTTTACTGGGCTACAGTCAGGATGTCTGCCGGAGTCAAAGTGTAGTCAGGTCTGGTTCCTTCTAGAGGCTCTGAGGAGAAAATCCATTTCCTTGTCTTTTTCAGCTTATAGTGGCCACTTTTATTTCTTAGTTTATTGCTTCATTCCCAAAGTACATGACTCCAATCTCTGCTTCCATTGTTCGCCACCTTCTCCTTTTTTGTAGCCTAACCTTCCTCTGTCTCCCTCTTACAAGATGACATTTAGGGCCCATCAAATAATCCAGGACAGCATCTCAAGAGCCTTAATTTAATCATATCTGCAAAGTCACCTTCACTCTATAAAGTGACACTGACAGGTTCCAAGGATTAAGATCTGAATATCTTTGGGAGCCATTATTTGACTAATACGTTGTAATAAAGCACTTTTGGTTTTTTTTTTTTTTTTTTTTTGTATAAATGCTTGTTTTCTCTTCCTAAATAGGGTATCATTTTCCCCCAAAGGAGTAACTCAGTGGATTATTTTACTGAGCTCTTCATGTTCTTCATTTCTTTGATCTTGTTTGTGACATATGAATGAATGCTTTCCATATGGGCATCATGCACAATTTCCTTATTTTTTTCCCAAGGAATATTTTTTAATGTTGTTGTTTTGTGTTGTAGTTGGTGTAATACGGTGCCCAGTATGCCGCCAAGAATGCAGACAGATAGACCTTGTGGATAATTATTTTGTGAAAGATACATCTGAAGCTCCTAGCAGTTCTGATGAGAAATCAGAACAGGTATGCTTCTCAATTTTTCTTTATATTCTTATCTTGATATTGAAGTGTAAATAATAAGAAAAATATGTTTGGATAGTTACATAATTTAGGATAGTTCAGGTATAGTTCTATTTTTCCAATTGAAAGTAAAGGCTCTTTATTCTATATCCTCATATTTAATTAAATGAGATGAAAAGTCTACTTAAAATTCAAATCTTGTCTGTAGTTTTTGTGTTCTCAGACTTAGATTTTTACTCGAATGTTTGATTGGGAAGGAACACGATTTTATTGAAGATAAATGGAACAAAATAATTTTATTCTAGTCATTTAGTATATTTGAGAGCAAGTCAGAGTTTTTATTTTGTGGATTTGTATTTTGTAAACGATGTAAATTATTTATTTCCTCTTTTAGGTATGTACTAGTTGTGAAGACAATGCAAGTGCAGTTGGCTTTTGTGTAGAATGTGGAGAGTGGCTATGTAAGACATGTATTGAAGCACATCAAAGAGTAAAATTCACTAAAGATCACTTGATCAGGAAGAAGGAAGATGTCTCAGGTAAGATAGAAACAGTTTTAATGATTAGTATACTATTAATCTCTCTCTTTTACCTCGTAACATTTTTATTTATTCTTCATATGCTTTGGACATCAATATTAATGGGAATTTAGAAGGTTAAATAACAATTTTTAGTTTAGAAAATATATGTTTTATTTTACTGCAGAATCTGTTGGAGCATCTGGTCAGCGCCCTGTTTTCTGCCCTGTACACAAACAAGAACAATTGAAGCTTTTCTGTGAAACATGTGATAGATTGACATGTAGAGACTGTCAGCTATTGGAACACAAAGAACATAGGTACAGAAGTCATAATTGCATAACAAGAAATCTTTAAAATGTTTTGTAAAATTAATTATTATTTAATCCATAGTTTTGTTAGCATTTTCTCAATTTCATATATTTTATTTCTTCAAGATATGTTTCTGATGAATTATTTAATGGTTTCCACATTCATATATAATTATCTTATGAATATTTGTTAAAAATGTATCATTACATTTGGGCTTGGAAGAAAGGAGTTGCATTATGTATTTGCTGTGCTTCTGATTCAGATAAGCTTTTTTCAAGTATACTGTGGTTATTTAGGCTCTATGCTGTAATCTAAAAAGGTAATATTCCTGCAGGTATGGCTGATACACATTTCAACATCAAAGCATAACTGTACTTATTTCATGTTCGGTATAAATCCCTTGTTTTTCTACAAACTGTGTAAGTTATGCAAGCAAAGTTACTAATTTTTTAATACATAACTTTCTATTTCAACCCCACTGTACCCTCAGAGTTCAATAGTATTCGCTTATAACCAGTCTATTACATTTGAACTCTTCTGGAAATGTACTAAAATTTCTAGTCAGGAGTATAACAGTCCTGCAGCAAATTTCCCAGTTTCTTTTTTTTTTTTCCCCCAGTTTCTATTAAATTGTATTATAGTTTAAAAGATGGTCTTGCTTACCCATAGTCCAGCCTTTTCTAAAGTGTTCTTACAATACTTCTGCTGATTTGATGGAAATAGGTTTATGAATCTCCTGCCAAAGAAGAGTAGGTTAAGTTGGATTAACCACATTTAAATGTGTTTCTTAACTGTAGGATGTCTTAGTGCTTTTAATTCCTTAAGTTCATTGAAATTTGTTAGAATCCTCTTAAAGAGGGAATACATTAATCCTAATAGCTAACAATTACTGCATTCGTAGTTTGTGTGAGGCACTTTTCTGAATGCTGCATGTTTGTTTAATTCACACCAGCTATCCATGAAATGTTAGTATTGGTATCATGACTGTTTTAAAGGTGAGGGAGCCTACTTACAGAAATCTGTAAGTTAGTAATCTGTACAGGGTCTCACCGTAAGTAGTAGAGCCTGGGTTTGAATACAGGCAGTTTGATCTATTTTAAGCCTGTATGCTCATTTTCTTCCATATGGTATATAGATACAGACAGAGTATATGGACTCTCTCAGACTTGACCACATAAAAGTAATGATCTTTGTTCTTTTTTTTTTTTTAAGATTTATTTATTTATTTGAGAGAGCAAGAATGAGAGAGAGAGAGAGTGTATGAGAGGGGGGAGGGTTAGAGGGAGAAGCAGGCTCCTCGCCGAGCAGGGAGCCCGTTGCGGGACTCGATCCAGGGACTCCAAGATCATGACCTGAGCCGAAGGCAGTCGCTTAACCGACTGAGCCACCCAGGCGCCTCTGATCTTTGTTCTTTTTTACTGTTCTATAGAACATTTGTTTAGAACTGCTACTGTAAACTTTTGTAACCATAATTTGTTCCCAAATGTTTCATCCTACCTGCAAGTTGGCTAATGTTTCACTTGAAGTGACTAATCTTGTAGATGACTTTACCTTAGGGCCAAATTGTACCATTGATTGTTTTGTAATAATCTCAATAAGACATTAGATCATCATTCTCACAGCTGCAGTCAGTCAGATCTTTGAGCATTTGGGTTACTTACGCTTTTTAAATTGTTGGTGAGGAGCAAAAAGAGAAGGAAGATGGCATCCTTTTTGCCATGAAAGAATAGCTTCAACTGTCCTTCCCTCAACGTTTAACCCTGCCTGATCCTTCTTTTTCCTTTACCATTTTCCTTTGCCACTTAGTTTCAAGTCCTAATCATCTCTTGAATGTTTTCTCTCATTTCTTTAGCCCACACTGTATTTTTTCCAGGATAGACTCTTACAGAACTCATGTCATTGCACTGTTGTTTGTTTATTTGTTTCTTTCATCTATCTATCTATTCCTGAATGAATCAATGGGAGGGAGAGGGGGAGAGAGAATCTCAATCAGGCTCCACGCCCAGCCCCGTACAGAGCCTGACATGGGACTTGATCTCATGACCCTGAAATCATGACCTGAGCTGAAATCAAGAGTTGGACGCTTAACTGATTGAGCCACCCAGGAGCCCCTGTCCCTGCACTTTAAAACCCTAGGTTCCTATTACTACAGCACACTTAAGAGTTGATCTTCCTGCTCTGAGTTTTACCTTGTCAAATTCATTCTGTCCACATTGTTGCCAGGATTATTTTGCTAAAATAGAGTCCCTCCTCATCCCTCACTCCCCTTTTAAAACACTTCTCAGTGGTTGCCCCATAGCTAAAGTTTCAAGTGTTCAATATAGCATACATTATTGAATCGTACTAGTCTTTTCTCTTCATCATCTATACAAAGTTAGGAAACAGCCCACAAGACTACCTTCATTTTTGACATCAACTGCAGAGTTCAATAAAAACCCTGGTGGGAAAATAGCATGCAGTTCAGCTCATCGATATGATTTGTTATTACCATCTCCAATTTAGAGCCTTCTAAACAGGATGCTGTCTGTTCACCTTGAAACTGTTATCCATGAACCAAATAGTTTGCATCCCTTCTCTCTCTCTTAAATTTAAATTTAGTAGTTTATTCAGTTTTGAAGTGTAGTTGACAACCAAGCAGCTGTTTTTTGGTTCTCAGAGAGCTAGCTGTTCATAGGGCACTGCCCATATGATTTAAAACCTTGAGTGGTTTTAAAGTCATCATTAGGGGAAAAAGGGGCTATTTGCTCATAAATACAATAAATAACTCTTAGCATCCTGCTGGTCATATGTTCCTGAACAAACCATTTCTATTTTATACAGAATTCTTCTAGGCACTGCCTTCCTTTTATTTATTTGAGAGAGAAAGAGAGAGCACAAGCAGGGCGAGCGGCAGAGGGAGAGGGAGAAGCAGACTCCCTACCAAGCAGGGGGCCAGATGCGGGGCTCGATCCCAGGACTCTGGGATCATGACCTGAGCTGAAGGCAGACACTTAACTGACTGAGCCATCCAGGCTCCATGGGCACTGCCTTCCTTACTAGAATGTTCTCTCTTGCCCAAGACATTGTGTGTGTTTCATGTTGCAGAGTTATACTATGTCCTTCAGTCAGTCAGTCTCACTTAATGCCCAATAGCAAGTTAGTAATTTTCTCTCAAGTGGCATATATTTTAGCATGGTATCCAGAATTTTCTGGTCCAAAATCCCAATGGTTGTTGCTTAGTGGCACTCATTGGCTTTTGCCATAAGCTCTAGTCCACATAAATACGTGTTGCTGCAGGCCCCAAATCATGTCCAACTGTGTGTCATAGGGGCCCAAGAGCATCGGGAGACAGGCTGCTTTTTGCAGTTGAGATATGGCCTACCTTTGTTCAGGATCCCATTCAAATACAGCCTTCTTTTGGATAGTTGTATTGATTGGTGCTACTAATATTCCCAGATGTGGAACATGTGTCCTTCAGAATTCAAATATACCACCAAATGTTGGGCTTCTTGTTTAGTTTTAGGGATAGGTGGCAAAAACAATTTATTTTTCTTTACCTGTGAAATGTCAAGGTTTGTACCTGACTAGGTTATTCCTAAGAATTTTATCAGTTTGGGCAGGTCCTTGGACCTGGTGGATTTATTAACAGCTTCTTTTGATCATATATGTCCTTTTTGCATTTAAGTCAGTTGTACCTTTATCTTTAGTTTGTGATCTTATCATGGTATCATCAAGATAGTGTATCCCTTCTAAGTGCCTTATACCACTAAGCTGGTGAATTTAAGTAACCCTTTGGCAATATAGTAAATATAAATTGGGATCCTTCCATGTGAAGGAAAATTGTTGTTGGCTTTTTTGAGGGAATCAAGGCAGAAAAATAAAAGTTGCAGGGTCAGTTACTGAGTATCATTCTCTTTTAGCCTACTATGTATTTATTTCTACTATTGAAATCATATCAGGGACTGCTGATGTTATGGGGCACTACTTTATTCAAGCTTTATAATAATCTACTGTTAGGGCTTGATGAGCCATCCACTTGTTTCACAGGCTACATACACATTTTTTTCACAGACTACATATACATTGTTATTATTCAGAGAATTCTGTCTCAAATTAATTTTTGTGGGCTCAGACAGTTTCAGTGGTTCTCATTTTAGCATGTCTACTCAAGACTGGCCTTAAGGTGGAATTTATTTATATGCCTTCTGTTTTACAGTACCAGTCAGACATAATACCCATCCCAATAATACAGTCACGTAAAGGAGATGTTACCACTTCACAGAAAGTCTGTTCTGACATTCCAACTTTCATCCAAATTTTTACCTTAATCCTGTTAACTATTGCTTCTCCTCCCAATCTAATTGTAGCTCCCCATTAGGACTTCCAACAGATTTTAGAATTATAGTGCACTGGGCTGTCATGTTAAGGAGTCCCAGAAATGTCTCTTATCCACTCCTTGGCTATTTTACCCACACAAGTGCATATTACCTTGGTTCTCCAGTTGGGGGTTGAACCAGAAGACCCTTGCCTCTCCTTCAGTCTTCAATTTGATTAATTTATAGGTCAGTCACCCCTGGTAATTTCAGGTCAGGTTTTTCACTGTCTTCTTTGTCCTCTGGCTTTTAAAATTTCTCTAAACTGGGGTAAATACAGCAGAGTTGTTTAGGGCCCTTTAATGTTGGGAAGCAGCAGTAACTCTCATGTCCACCCAACCTCTAGTCATGCTACATTAAGATTTTTGTTTCAACCCCATCAATATCTGTTTTTATTCATCCTTTTTTTTTTTTTTTTTAAAGATTTTATTTATTTATTTGACAGAGAGACAGCGAGAGAGGGAACACAAGCAGGGGGAGTAGGAGAGGGAGAAGCAGGCTCTCCGCTGAGCAGGGAGCCCGATGCAGGGCTCAATCCCAGGACTCTGGGATCATAACCTGAGCCGAAGGCAAATGCCTAACGACTGAGCCACCCAGGCGCCCCTCATCCCATTTTTTAATAGCCATCTGAAGATTTCCATCCTGCTGTGTTAAAT